GAGTTCTAGTAAGTAATAGCGACTAGTGGAGTTAAATTGGGTCTGTTGTGAAATAGTAACTCACTGATGACAAAGTTGGATGTGTCGCTCAATTTCGTGGATTAGTTTAATTTAAACATCAACACAATAAGAGCTTAAGCGTTGGCGCGCTAGATCAATAAGTCTTTGGTTCAAATCTCTCGAGGCGGGATTGTGGATGCGCATTGCCGAGGATTCCCACGATAAGACGAAACGGCCGTTCAGTACTTCCAGGTTTTTCATAATGACTCATAATTTCAACTATTGAAAAATTATTTACTTTGATTACTTACAACAAAATGAACTCAATTAGCATAGTATTATTTAGCAACAACACATTTTTACACCTATAAAATAGATCCAGACAGTTAAAATTTTTATTGAAAAGAAAAACAGTTGGAAATTATTACGTCCCTTATTTATAGAATTTTATCATAAAGAGAAACGACAATTTTTAGAGAGTAAAAAATTATATTAAACAGCTTAGTAAAAATACAAAAAATAAAAAATATTAAATTACAAGCCATGTAACAAAATCTTTTTGCAATTATCATTTTAAGTTGCATTATTAATCCATAAAAAAAATTATTTCTCCTATTCAAATATATAATTATAGTAAATGCACAATGTACAAAATAAGGGAAGGCATTGTGAAGTATAGACTTTAATCAATTTCATTCATTAAAATATTTAGACAATATATGTTTATGATAATTATATCTTATAAGAAAATATAGAACAAAAAGTATGAAGAAGTGATCAGTGGAGTTCAACTGGCTCTGTTATGAGATAGTAATTATGGATGTGTCGCTCAATTTCGTAGATTAGTTGAAGTTAAGTATTAACATCATTGGATACCGGTTTAGATGTCTAGAAGTTAAACGTCGGCGCGCGTGACTGTCCTTGGTTCAAATCTCACGAGGCGGGATGAGCACTGCTGAGGAGTCCCACAAATAGGATGAAACTCCCATCCAGTACTTCCTGGCTTTCTATAGTTGTGTAGCCTCAATTGGCTCATGATCACAACTATTGAAAGAAATATTTACTTAATAGTTGAATTTATGAGTCAATTATGGTTACACTATCTTGGAAAACTTGGAAGTACTAGATGGCCTTTTAGTTATAGTATTGGGATTACTAATTTGAAACTTATTTTTAAAAAAATAATTAGGGTTAAACTAATCTGTAATATTTTGTATTTGTGTAGTTAAAGAAAATATCAATTAAAGTATAAGTCACTAAATATTGAAAGTATATGACACAATAATTCATTGAATTAATAATCAGTTAGTCTATTAAACGCTTAACAAATAGATGAATGAAAAATATTGATGATTTATAACTGTTTTCCCTTATTTCATTAAGCTATTTCTAAAAATCTTTTTTTTTAGTATGCAAAATATTTAAAAGTGTTAAAAGTGATTGTGAAAAATGAATGAACTAATGGAACTATTTTTTCATAGTTTTACTAAGTTGTTGAAATAAGTATCATTTGTTGTAGATCATTAAACTTCTTCAAATAGTACTGTTATCACATTATCTTCTTGAAGAGTACTTTAAATTATATTTTGAATTGTTATCTGTAATGAATATCCGAAATTACGTCATTCATATTACATAGTTTCATATTTGTATGCTGCCATAAATTCACTAAAGTCATAAGATCTCTCTCTCTCTCTCTCTCTCTCTCTATATATATATATATATATATATATATATATATAATACAAAATACGTTGCTTTTGTTCATTTGCACAAAATTATTTTGTTTGTTCGTTCACATTTTAATGTGCATTAGTTTATTAACAATGAATTAAAAGATTGTAATGGTAAGTAGCTCACTCATTAACACTATCTTCCATATGGTATATAGAAAATAGAATATTAAAACGTGAGACAAGACAAAGCTATACACTGAACTAGTGAAATTCGGCTAGCGTATATATTCAAGAAGTACTTTTCGTCCTATTTTAGACTACTCACTTGAATGTGTATGCATCCCAGTGTTATTATTCACATTGAGACTTGAAATCAGTGGCTTTCTCTTCAAACATATATCGGGTTATCTACCAGGCTACTGAGTCCAGAATGTCAACTTTTATCTAGCAAGCACGATTTTAACCTTGTTATTAGTATGAATTATTCCAACGGTTATTTAAAGACTGAGATTTAATCGCTATTTGTTGACATATGTACACTCTGTACGGATTACCAAGGTGATTGATCGAATTTCATTCATGAACATCAACAACAGAATAATTCAAACCAATAATAATAATGATGTGAAATGTAACACCAAGTAGATATTTCCTAACCAAAACATTAAAAGTAACTTCATATTTTCAGTTTACTTATTATATCTTATTATAACTTAAAAAGGAACTATCTCTGAGTAATATTTTCGTATATCGTTGAGCTTTATATTACACTATTGGATCACAGCTTTGCAAGCTATTAATATATATCGAAAAATGCAATTGAATTAAGGAATTCATGTAAAAACTGCGTGCATCATCTTGATGCCTTTGATTATGGTATACATTCGTTTAATTAACTGCAATCTTTCATCAATGTGTATATTCCATATATATGATATTGACTACGTTAGTACTTATGTGTCTATCCACTGTACTAAATGTGTGATCGCACATACATTTCTTTAACAACTCCCACATTGATTTGACTTGTTTCAAATCCACACTACTTAGATCTGTTCACTTTTACGACTTGTCGTTAAAGCTACATATATAAATTACAATATTCTCACATACATCTCATGTACAACGTTTGATGACATATTGATCAAAGTGTCAAGTTTAAAAAGTGAATAAGAAACTAATCTAGTGTGATGTATTAAGGGGGAACAAGTCAAATATGAGATTAAATAACCAACACAGACAGATGGATCTATTATTTATATACTGTGATAAAGTTTGAAGTAAATACTTTCTTAATTATTTCTTTTTATATCATTTAACCTACATTATATAACCATTAAGATTGAACTTTATTATAATAACTGTTGCAACACCAAATATCAAAAAGTTTTAGCTAAATTTTAGAAGAAATGAGATCTTCAATTAAATCGCTTATACAAAAAAGATCATAACTAATTAATAAACATTCTTGTTTTAACGAGAAAATTTATGTATTTATGAAAATATAAAAGGAGATATTTTTTTAATAAAATGTGAAACAATAAAAACTAAAACAATAAATAAAAAGGAAGCTTTTATTGCTTAGTGTTTCTTATATCTACCCGAGGTATCTCCCTATATAACTAACTAACTACTTGACAGTTTGTTACTACATAACAACTACTCATAATTAATACTGTTATAACTACTACTAATGTAAACATTACAATCATCATTATTTTGAATTAAAATTAATAATTTCACTTAAGTAAATACCACTCAAAATTTATCGATCAGCTGAAGAACAAAAAAACCATTGACAACAGCATATTTAAAACGGAAATCATTGTAAACCTAGTAGTTGTTTGTTTGGTGTTGTTTCTTTCATTTTTTTTATTTTTTTCTGTAAACAGTAAACTTGTATAAAGATTTCTAGATCACTTATGTGTCTGTCACTAAACAACTAAATTTCATTACTCTCTTCTGTCTTTTTTTTCTTCCGTTTTATTTATTTTTTTTGTTTTTTTAAGCATATAAAGAGAACATTTAAGAGTATTTGTCATTCATCATTAGTATGCTAACAAAAAAATATTTTTATTTCATTTTCTTCCAGATCCTTCATTTTTCATTATGGTTAGTCTAATGAAGAGTTAATACAATCCTCCAATCGTTAAATATAGATGAAGTTATCTATTTATTTTTTGATTGAAATATAAAATAAGATAGGAAGTCAATTATGAATCGTCTTTTATTTACACTTTTTTATCTGTAGCAAACGTCAGAACAATTACTGTATTAATACTTTGATAAGCAAGAGTTTAAAGATAGTCATCTTTCTCTATTTATATAAGTTTAATTGGTTTTCTATAATTTTGATGAGTATGCTTAAGGCATATAAATATACATCTATCCTTATATATATATATATATATATATATATATATATATATATATATATATATATAGCATGATCTTACCTTAGGAAATATTTTTTGTTATTTTCAGTTACTGCGGATATTGATCGATTTTCTGACCTATTATTTATAGTTATGAGTATCACCAAATTATGAATGACAAATCCTAATGAGATTTCGCAAAGATTTATGTTATATTGATTAGGTTCGACAGAAAATTTTTATGTCATGTCCCAAAAATAACTCTCATTATTAAAGTAAGATATCAATTCAGATTCAATAATTAATTGCACTATAGGTTACTTATTAATAAGTCTGATAGTTAAGGAAGAAAACATGAAAACTTAATTATCTAAGACAAAACAATTTACATACAAAAAAATATCTTCCAATGATCGATATATATTTTACATAACTTAAAATTATACCTACATGATAGAAAATTGAACAGATTTCAAGAATCAGTATAAATCTATATTTCTTTTGTTTTTTTTTAATATTTAAAAAATGTTGATCAAAGTGTTTTAGTAAAACTTTGGTTATTTGTTCATAAAGGACAATGCATTTGGCTTTATAAATTTCACTTGAAATAAACTCATAAAGATAATAAATAGAGTATCATTTTCATTAAGATGGATTCATTTTGACAGCCCAAACTTTTATTGATATATAATAGTTCCTGGATTTAAATCTAGTGAAGCGGGATCGTGGATGTACACTGCTGAGAAGTGCTACAATATGACGAAACAGCCGTGCAGTGCTTTCAGGTTTTCCATGGTGGTTTAATTTCAATGGACTCGTCTCAACTATTGATATAATTTTTTCTTTATAAAATTAAATGAAATTGTAAAAAGCTTCCATGAGATTAAACTGATCATAATCAAAATATTATTAAATTAGAATAAAATGTTATTTATACGAAAAAACTCACCTAGAAAAGTAATTTGTATGAACATACCAATATGTCCAATAGATAAGCCAATCTGCCAATTTGTAAGCATTCCAACAAAATATCCTAAAATTGCACTGATCACTAAAGGGAATACAAATAACAATTTGCTAAATTTCAATGGTATTGGATTTTCAAGACGATTAAGGTTGTGTAGTTCACCTGTTTTACAAAAAGCATATAATATTTATGGTTAGAATTATGTCAAACCTATGTAATTGAATGAAAAAATGCTTTCATATTAAAAATCAATCCGCACAGGATGTACATATACCAACAAGAGAGTTATCAATCTCGGTTCTAAACAACAATGGGAAAATACAACTAAAAAACACCAAGTGAATTTAAACATCATCCAATTTCAAAAACCATTGACTATCAAGATTCAGTAGCTAAGTGGATATCGCGATGGTGTTTCAAGCGAACAGTACTGGGTTTGAGTCCCAGAGTGATCATGAACTCTGGGATTCGAGTACATCCAGCTCAATAGTCCCATATAGAATGAAAAGCGCATCCTGGATTCCACTGCTAGCCATCATCCATCTCTGCTTAAAATGCAATCCGCACAAGATGCCAACATGAGACTGATCAATTGCAGTCCTAAACAACGATGGGAAGATACAAGCAAACAGCACTAAGTGAATCATTTATTTATTCGTTAGTAAATTTTGGTTGTATTAAATTTATGTTAGTAAAATTCGTATTTTAGAATTCATATACTGTTATTCCACTTCCATGTAAGTTAACGTAATAAAAAAATTGGTTAATATTAATTTTGTCCGATACTTGTTTTACTGAAATAAGGATATCTCAGTTTCGATATGTATTGAAGAATGTTTTTCGAGAACATTCTTTATGCTCTATGTGAATTTCTGTTTACATTTGGCACATCTTACATTGCTAAATATATAGCTTTTATCTTGTTAAGAATAAATTCCAACTTTCATCGTTTATGAAATAAAGTATAAAAATAGAAATATTTTTGTATTTAAGTATCGCCTATTCAGCTTGAATCCACTTCAATTAATAGCAAACAAATCAATGATTACTTTGTGAGCAAAAAGATATTCATTATCATTTTGTGCTTCTTCTATATCAACTATTTCATAAATATTTAAACTGATATATGTATATATGTACCATATGTCTAACTTGGTGTTCTCAGCTACGAAAAGTTTTGTTACAGTGTATTACGTAACGGTGACAGTGTATTATAAACTACACTTCCGGTAGTTAATAACATGTTTAAATTGTAATCAAAAGTAATTTTTTGCCCAAAAAGATTATAAAAAGGTAAAGGATTAAGTAAAGAATATTTAAAAAACTAAATGCTTATTGTTTTTCCTTATTTTCCTGATTATAAGCACAAACACTTAAGACCGATGAAATGTAACTCAACTCTAGACAAAAGGTAGATAACTGAATGACGAACACTTTACCAAGATTTCTCAAAGTCATTGCATGAAGTTAATTTGTAATGAATTTACTTATGTAAGATTATGTTTTGAAACAATTTTAGGAAGATATTAAGAATCATAAGATGAAGTGAAATTTAGCTGTACTGTGAATGTGGTTCAATGAACATTCAGCCCATTTTTTACTCAATAAAGGTTTAGAATAAAACAGATAATGTCACTGTTTACAGATCAGATAATATGACCCAAAATAATAGCTGCAGGGTCACTGGAGAAGATTTAGGAACAATCTACGCAGATTAATCTTACATTGATTACTAGATTATCATTGTCGTCATATCTCAATGCAATGGTAGGTTATCATTAATTTTTAAGTTCACTGAAATTAGATAAACTTCATTAAGAAAAACAATCTATCAGTGAAATTTTTAATAACCGTTAATAGGAACACGATGAATCACCTATATTATATTGTAACAAATAAGGTAATAGCATCATACTTTATGATTACACTATGCAGACTAAGTACAACATTACTGAGAAAGGTATATTTTTGTAAACGTTAGTATATAAAGTCAACAAGAATTTATAAAGAAATATTCAAAACACGTTTATTGTGCTGAAAAAAGAACGATATGAAAAGTGTAATGCAAACTCGGGCAATGTAATCAGATTTTAAAGAAAAACAAAGTCCCAAATTGTAATGACCTTTATAAAATAATAAAGGATCAAGTACTATTGTGGTGTGGGGTACTTACATCCACATAAGTAGTATATAACGGTGGCCAGGCATAGAATGTATTTCAGTAGAAGATCGAGAAGGAAAGAACGGGAATGGAACGCAATTGGTATGAAAATGCATGAATAATGAAATATGAGACAATGGACTGATATTTGCAAAGCAACAGTCAAATTTGAGACGATGGATTGATATTTTGCAAATTAACCATTTACTATATGCTTCTCAGATTTTATTGAGATGCTCTATAACTTCGTGTCAAATACATTTGATTGTCTCCACTCGTGTTTTTGTTCACCACACTAGATCACTGTTTATTTTCAAATTTAACAGATTCATTTTGAATTTCACATTTTGGACGATGAATTCATACCAGAGAATAGAATGACATGTCTGTATAAAACTGATGTATATCAGTATGCTTTTGAAAAGAATGAATAAATAATTCATTGGTTTTGTGTAGTTCATTTAACTACTAAATCATAAGCTTGTAGAACTAATTGAATAAGACAAAAATTACTAAACAACTGTTATTTACATAATTGTTACTTTTTTCAAATTCCTAGTCAAATTAAAAAGGAACAACTTACTTGCTAGTTGTGAAAGATATTCTTTATTATTTTGTTGAGTGAAAATCCCAACTGTCATAGGAAAATTTGACTGCCTACAAGTGAACATATCTGCTAAAACGCGAATTGTGTTTGCAGCATGATTTTCTACATTTGGTGAGTTACTTTCTATGGGAATGTTATAAGCACCTGTTATGGAAATAAAAAAAAAAACGAATCATGTATATATATGTATGCATGTAAGATAATTAATAGTTTTCTCTTAAAACTTAATATGCAAAGATAGATAGTGACTAGTAGTAGAATTCAGGACGTGGGTTTCGTCCCATTCGGGGCTCTTCAGCTGGATGTACTTGTATCCCATAGTTGATTTTTACTATGGAAAGATACGAGTAAACAATAACAAATGAATTTAAAATTTAATGTTTTAAACCATTCACTTGATCTCACTAATTTACTATTATGTATATAATATAATATGGCTTCTTAACAAACTTATCATGCAAATATTGTTAAATGAACTGAACGATTAACCATACACTTAGATAAGCAATGCTTTCTAGTAAACAAAGGTCACATAAAAGACATTAAGTACATATATTTTGTCTTTTATGAATGTGAAAGGAAACCAACAGTAAGAAGGCGTGGAACAACATATTTTGATAGAATAAATCAAAATGTCTACTAAGTACATGGTAATGAAGACAGTAACCAACAGAATTCAATCAGTATTAGGAAGTTCACGAAAAGAAACAGATTACTACGCAGTGATCAATCATCGTACATATTTCACTCTTACAGGAGGTTAGTTGAGGCCCAAATCGCACATTTGAAACGTACTGGACTACGACACTGGTTGATGAGAGTCATACCACTACACGTAGGATCATATTCGTCAAGATTGAAAACATGTCTTGTAAACAAGTGCATTCAACAAACTAACACTGAACTAGACTGATAATCATTTAGTAATCAACTAAGTAACCTATGTAAAGTCCACGGTGGTGGCATCACCATTTTTTGTAGACATCACTTAAAGATATAAAGTGAATCAAATCAATTAAGATACAGTTTAAATATTGGCCTTGATTGGAGAAATCTATTTTACATTTCATACATTAAGACAAACGATGACGTATTTTCTGAAGCACTATTTTTGTTAACTGTTTTCGTGTTAAACATTTCTTATAGTATAAGTTTGCTCATAGTAACAATGCCGAATTATTCAGTTCATGATCAATAATATTCTTCTGGTAAATAAAGGAAACTAAATGAATATGATATTAAACAATGCATGTTAATTTCACAACACTTGTTACTATATATACTATCTAAAGCTTTAATCATTTTACAAAAAAAAACATCAATCTATTATCACCATATATATTACTGAATACTGTCAATTTTAGATTAAATCAATGCATTTTTCTAAAATAATTTCCACATTCATATGTTTTACAATATAATATCATAATTTTTTAATGGCTGTGTACAAAATAAATTTTAACTCCTGAGCCGGATGTACTACTGTACTTGTTATGTATTTTTTTCTTTATCTTAGCAACGAGCAACAAGCACAGTAAATAAATTTACAGAATTTATCGATTAACTTGATAATAATACGATTGACCGTTCTTTTCGCGACTATACCTTCCGTTCGAAACTTTTTTTGTTGTTGTTGTTAAATTCACTTATTTTGTTTACCTTTTTTGGTTTTATTTAATTTCCTTGAAGTTTATAATCTTTAAGTAGATTGTTGTTGAAGATTTATCTACTTAACTCTTTCTATTTCTACCTCTCAGTTATTTAATTAATTCTGTAGACGATTTTACAGTAGAATTAAGGTGAGAGAGAATTAATAACAAAATTGCTGGTTTATTTTTATAACGAACAAAATTTTCTGTTATTGATAATCTATACATTGGAATATACATATACAAGTGATATATTGCCTTCATTAAAATAGATAAATAAATAAATAGCAGAGTTTCTACATCTGTTAACATGACTGTAAGGTATTTTCTATGGTATGTGCGTCATTTAATACAATTTCCATTTCAAAATCAATAATGATGATAAGGAAGGGAATATCTCAAATCAATCTTCCTTTGTGTTAGAAATTCTAAAGACTATTTGTGTTTTCGTCAAACAACATGATATTATTAGCAAGTACATAAGTCATTTTTACAAGAATACTAAAATTTGGCATATATTAGCCCTTTAATTGTATTATCAAAATTAAAATTCTATAAACCGGAGATGATTTTGTACTCATACACAGGAGAAAATGTATCAAATCATAACTCTACAATTTAACCCTTTGAAATTTAGAAACTTCAATCGCAATTACAAAACATGATGTAGAACAATTGGTAGCAATAATCAATCTATTATCTAAAAACAATATAATTCAACAAGTACATTAAACTTATAACTTACTCATATCTATATATGGTTCAAGTCCAATATCGTTATTACTAATTACTGAAGGATGCATTAATCCTGATTCTTTAACATTTTTCATACAATCTAAAGAGTTTCTCATAAAATTGTTTGTTTGAAGTTTTGTCATACGATCTTGTATCATAATTCATTAATATGGATTTTGTTTGTTTTCATAATATTTGATATTTGATTCATATATCTTATATTTTTATCTGAGTATTTTTAATTGAATCGGAAATATGAGCTCTAAATTTTCATTATTTAATATGAGTTCACTTTGTTTCATTCTACTATTGACTTTTATTGAGGTGGTTTTATATACTAATGAATAAAAACAACTGAAATATTTACTTGTATTTCTTTATGGTTACGTAAGTGATTTTCATTGCCAGCAATATTTCAATCTGGGTAGATCAGAATAAATAAAATAGAATAAATCGTTATTAGATATATGTATATATTTTGTAAATAATAAAATCACTCGGATGAAGCTGATAAAATGTTTATGACGTATTACTAGGAACACATACACTATAGTTGATTTTGTAACAGTATGATATCACCATTTGTTTCCTTGAAACCTGACCTTTAAAAAGACACAAGTTGTGAACACAATGATAGAAATAATGTGTACATATGAAATATACAACGGAACGCTCAATGTCAAGGAGTTTTCAGTTGGATTTCCTTGAGATTTCACACTATTTTGTGTGCTTGATCCCTGTTCAGACAGATAAGCTATATTAAACTATATTAAACGTAAAATGTCTCTGTGAGTAGTGCTTGATTAATGGTATTTTTCGTTAAAATCATAATTTACAACGAACTGAGAAATAAAATTTTAAATCACTCAATGTATAAAGCATAAACTAATTGAATAAAATCCCTGAATGAACTACTGGATTGATGTTTATTAATATTGTTTAATTTTACACTATTAGTTCTCAGGGCAACCTTTCTACATAATTGCATAGATAGGTTTTCTTAACTTGATACTTGTGACTCAAACATTTTACAAAATTCAAATGCGAAGTTCATGAATGTTTATCAGTTAATTTTTGATAGAAGTTGAGATTCTATTACAACTTACAAGTTAACAAGTTTATAATAATGGGTCATCATAATACTCATTAGTTAATCCAAAAAGGTCTACGAATAACGCCTACAATAATTCCATGATAACATCAGATCGATAACTGAACAAAAGAAAAAAACTAACATTATTGAACTTGGTATATCTAAAGAGAACATTTTTTTACTATAAACTACTAACATTAAAGCACAGCACTGCTAGATATTCAACAACCAATTCATTGTAAGAATTGAACAGGAGTCAATCAAGTTAAAAAATATATATAAAATCATCATTTATTTTAAGCAAAGATGGATTCTCATTGATGTTTAGGACTATAATTGATCAGTCTCTAATTGTCTTGTAACTTAAGTCAATATCGAAGCAATACGCACTGCATGCACATATGCCAATATGAGACCGATTCGAGACCGTGATTCAAGCAAACAATACCAAGCGATTTATTATCATTTACTTCACTATGTTCATAATCACCATAATCAACTAAATATGTATAAGAACAAAACAAAACAGTCTTTTAAAGATTATGAAAAAAATAAGAGATCTAAATGCTGTTGTTTCTTGAAAAATTCAATTTTCACTTCGATCGTTTTTCTTAAAGTATATTTTTATCACTTCAGGCTATATTCTAATTACTGTTTGTTTGTTTACTCGCGTTACTTTCATTCTTGACATTGTTTGAGTCTATGTTATATACATTTTTTATCATAATGTACCTGAATAACAAAACTGAATATTTCATAGTCATCAAAGTTATTCATATAACAATAAATTGATTCATTTGGACCAACAAATCAATTTTTTATTTCAAGAAAGATTCGAAAATAAAAACCAAAACAACCCAACTACTTTGTTTTTTATTTATTGTATCCTCTCTCACATTTAAAATAGAATTTAAATAATTCAGATTATTCTATTTTCAAAATACCGATACTGGATAAAGTGAAAAATAGATAAATATGTTTTTTGTTTGGCGAACATCGTAAAGTGAAAAACCTATGTACTTCATCTTCAGCTTACTAATTTTACTTGCATAAGCATATATATATAAACACATAGATTTTCACAATTGGTTGATCACCGGTCGGTGATCAATGTCATGCGTGTCTAGTCCTTATTATTAGTGCAGATCGAATGCTATCGACCATGTTGCAATGTGGCCACCAGTCTAGGTGACTCGACACTGTGGGCACTATCGTGAGATTAGATGGTGGTGGCCCGAATAGCTCAGTGGTAACGTCTCTGACTATGAAGCTGAGTGACACGGGATCGAATCCGCCAGGGAACACCAGTTCCCTCAAGATTACAGTACATCTTGCTGACGAGTGCCAAGTAGCGCGAAACCCGGGTTCAGGGTTTCCTGTCGACTACCTCCAACCACCATCTAATCACACATAGATTGTCTCTATCGTTTGAGCCATAAATTTATGAGCCTTCAGAAAAAGTTATGTATACATTAAATTTAGAAAAAGAAAAGATATTCGGTGCATTCTCGCTGTTTAAAATATTTTGAAGTAGTAATTAGGGGCGATTAAAGTACATTATTGTTAAAAGGATGGTGGTTTAATTTCATCAGTCTTGAATATTTAATATTTTTGTTAGAATTTAGACGGTTTTTCTTATCAGAAGGGGAAAGAAGCAGTTACCAGTGGAGTTCAACCAGTTCTGTTATGAAATAGTAAATCACTGATGACAATGGGGGGATGTATCGCTCAATTTTGTGGATTAGTTGGAGTTAGATACTAACATCGTGGGATGCCAGTTCAGTGGTCTAATGGTCAGTCTGATGGTTAAACGCTCGCGCGCGGTGAGATCATGGAAGTTCAGTGCTGAGGAGTCCCACGAATCGGCCGTGAAGTGCTTCCACGTTTTCCAAGGTTGTGTAGCTTCGATTGATTCATGATCTCAATTATTAAGGTTTTTCTTATCTTAATAAGCCATTGATTTACATTGCTTGTCAAAAGCAGTTAAAA